TTTTGAATAACTTAATCAGAGAACCTTCAATGACCTTCTGGTCATACCAGAGAACCTCAACTCTGATGGACATCAGAATTGATCAACTCTGGTGACACTAAAGTAAAGGTCTCTGATATATACTAGAAGACCTTCTGTTATGGTCGTAACAGAGAACCTCAAATAAAGGTGGATCTCTGATGACACCAGAATAGAAGACCTCATAGGTATTCTGGTAAGGTATTCTATTGAGGTATTCTGATCAGAAACTCAACATCTACTATTCTTCTCTTAGCACAGAAACAAGAAGACAGAAGACCCACTTGCAGTCAGAATGACAAAATGTATAGAAAATAATGTTACAAGAAATTATGTGACAAAATTTCTTATAACATTATTTACTAAAAGCAAGTAATCTTATATTGAGGAAAGCATTGAACAACGCTCGGCCTAGATACTGAATTTCTATAAGCTAAAGAGATAAAGATAAACCATCTTTATCTTTGCCTTGAAATGAGAAATCAAGTTGAGTGCGGATAAAATGATCCATGTCACAAGAAGATAAGAATCAACCATGCTGCCCAGTCAAGTTGAACAAAGCATGTAGATCAAGCAACGATCAAGATTGGATCACTCAGCCACGGAGGAGATTCAACAACAAAGTCTATAAATACAGAAGGAGTGCGGGAAGACCAAGTGTGGAACCGTGTGGCACCATGTGGCACCAGATGGCAACAAGCCATGGTATATTGGAACCCAGTGGAACTGAAGGGAATCAAGGTTTACATGACAACATCCTGATAGCTGATTCACCTTCACCACTCTGGTTACCACCCCACTCATCTAATGCTCTTAGAATAGCTTATCATTCATACACATCTATAGAGCTTAGATTAGTTGGTAGATTAGTTTAAACCCTTGTAAACTAGTCTAGTGTATACATTCTGGGATGTGTGTGATCATCCAGAAGGTGAGGCAAGGACATGAGTAGCTTCTGGCTGGGCAAGCCATTAGTGAAAAACCTTGGAGGACATGAGTAGCTTGGAACAGACTGTTCCTCGTGAAAAACCTCACAATCTACGCCCGTGCCAGGGGTAGATTGGGCACTAAATGTAATGAGATATTCATTTAGTGGACATCCATCTGAAATAGGTTGGGACTGGATGTAGGAGGATTACACCACCTCTGAACCAGGATATATCTTGTGTACCTTTTATATTCAGCACCCAACACATACTTCAGTTCTCACTCACCTTCATACTATCCCAAAAGACTTGCATATTCACTGTCCAGAAAACTCTTTAAAGTTTTCTGTGAATCAAAACTCCTTACCTACGTACTTCAAAGAGATCTACATCAATAGATCTAAATCCTTCACACAAAGGTGTTCTGTCCAACCCATCTCTGTTATAACTAAATGGTCATAACTTTTTTTCTATAAAGTGTCACACTCTTGAGGTCAAGACTTCCGCTGCATGTTTCAATATCTCCCAAAAGATATTGGAGCACATTCTGTTTGAAGAAAAAGGGTTGAAAAAGAAAAGATTTTTATAAGTCTATTCACCCCCCCCCCCTCTAGACTTCTACCTCACTTGGGACCATCACAATGCAAGCCCCATAGCCCCTTGGTCGATTTTCCCTTGATCGACGCCAGTCCCCCGCAAGTCAAAATCCTCTTATTGATGCACCCCCGCAAGTCGACCCCCCCCCCCACAGGTTGACCTCCGAAGGCCGACCTTCCCTTTTTGGTCGACTTTGTGAAGGTCGACGCCATAACCGTGATCGATAACCCCTTCTTACTCTGCATTCTGTAAGCCAACTCAGCCACATTAACGTGTTAATCTAACGAGTATACTCGATTAACACTAAAACATCAAGTTCGTGTACTTACAAATGTCAAATGCAATATAGTGTACTCTTTACTCCACCTCATACAAGTTGATTGGTAGTCACCTACTTTACATCTGATTTAAGAGAATATTCCCTAAATAAGAGTAAAAAAGATTTGAAATTCCAAAATAGGAGTAAAATTTTGCCAAGTTTGTCATTACTAGGCTTTAATCATGTCATTTTTTCCCAGACTTGGCAGAATTACTCATATTTAGGGAACAAAAACATGAAAATTCTATTTTGGAATTTCAAAACGTTTTTACTCCTATTTATGACAATTTCTGCTGATTTAATCATGGATAGAAATCATCTCTTCCCATGGGCTAGAAGAAATATCACTATAAACATAGATGGCATCATCCTTATTACATGAGATCGAGTATCATTTTTATTAGTTTCATGATGATGGGGTTTAAATCATTATAAATTTGGAAAAATACGACAGTATGACTAAAACATACGTACTTTCCCATAGTATGACTATAAGAGTATATTTCCGGTTATATGACTACAATGCACGTGTGCGACTATGGAGCGGTTATAATTTAAAATTAAAAGACAACAATGCCCTTAATTAGTCGTATGTGATGAGTCAAGACCCAAATGGAAATTAAAAATTTGAAACGGAAAGGCGGCGAGTTCTTAGGGACGGACTTCAGAGCATTAATGCACTTGAGAACCAGAAGGAAAGAACTTCTTTGTAGAATAGTCCATCAAAGAAGACGGCCAACTTATGTGAGTCGGGTTTGAAGAAAAGAAGCCAACGATGGCGTCGGTGAATGACAATGGCATACAAATGGAGGCAGTAAGTGCGAATGACGACACCAATTCTACTTCCTACTCCAATATAATCACACTCGATGGCGTGGTAATTTCCAACCATGTTTTTCGAATTACGTTGCCTTTTCTTTGATCTTTTTTAACCTGCATGTCGTCTGCGTATGATTGGAAGGGTTGTGTGAGGTGGGAATGAGATAGACCGCTATAGTAGGGCATTATAAGATGTTGATTGGAGAAAGCATCATATTGGACAAGGGCATTATGTGATTTTGAAGGGCAGTAAGAATGAAGGTCAATAAGGCACTGACTGTCCGTATAGACAGTAATAACAGCAGGTATATAAATACATTAAAGACAACAGAATGTGTACTAACGAAAATTAAAATAATGTAAACAAAAGAGTTACCTTCTATTCATTAATCCCTAATTTTTAGGAGGTCCCATAATTAATTGAGCGGTTATTGCTCAAAACGGTTATGACGCATGATTCCATGCGAGAGTATTATGTCAAAGACTCAAAAGCTTAGCCACGCCGTTTATTTTGGGTTGGAATAGCATATATTAATTAAATGGAAAAAGGGCACTATTGGGATTGAAATAAAAATTAAAAACCACGTGCATATCCGTGAACATGTGCAAGTCATCATACAATAAGAATAAAAAGCCATGCAGTCATACTATGGGAAAGACGTCTTTTAGTCTCACGCCGGGTAATTTTCTCTTATAAATTTGATGAAAATAACTTTAAATCATGTTAATACTAACTTTGTTGTTATTTCCAACGCGAAGAACCGAAGGCCAATGATTCTTAGTAAAATTTGCTAGATTCAAACTTATAAAATTTTTCGTCCAAAGAATTGCAATTGATTTCACTAGTTAAAGAAAACTTTGTTAGAGAGCAACAAATAAGAATCCTACATCGCACAAATCACGAGTTCTTCTCTCAATGTCAGATATTATAGCAAACCAAGACCATATCATGATATCACTATTGATGCAACGATATAATGTACTCTCTCCGGTCCTAAATAAAGTTCACACTTTTCTTTTTGGGCCGGTCCAAAATAAAGTTCACACTTCTTCTCCCTTTCTTATTTGGCAAATTATCTACATCAAAACAGTGCAAAACAGAGTCAAACAGTGTCACAACAGTGTACTCTACAGTAAAGTCAAATTTATTTCCTTAATTTGTGTGAAGTCAAACACTGAACTTTATTTAGGACCGGAGGGAGTATGTCTAAACATCTCTCAAAGACAACTTCAAATTTAAGATCACATATCTCATCATCTCATGTTTCATTTCGTTTTAAAATTTTGTTAGAGTCAGTCTGATAACACTGAAATTCGCCGAATTGGCTGATTCTAATAAAATTTATTAAGTTTTGGCTGAAGTGGCTGTATTGGTCGATTATACTGACTTATGAAAAAAATATATTTAAAATATTTGTTATTAGTAATAAAATAAAAAAATATACTACGTAGTAGTATATAAGAAATAACTAAAATGATCCTTTACGGTAACTTCAGCCAATACAGCCACAAAAGTAACTTCAACCTTACTTTTTCTTATTATTACACAATTCAGCGCACGAAATCAAAAGTTACATGTTTGATGAAAAACTGGCTGATAAGCCTGATAAGCCGAAACAAAACGTCACCAAACAAGCTCTTGATGTATGTTTAACAAAGAGTTTTTGCCATTTTTGGTCCCCCGACTATTATGTCAATGACACTTTTGGTGTTCGACTTCTAATTTTTCCATTTTTAGTCCTTGACTAATGTGCTAGAGACACTTTTGGTCCCTGACTTCAAGGTTTCCCACATTTAGTTCTTGAGTATATTGTCAAATTGACACTTTTAGCCCCCCATTATGATTTTGAAACAATAAACAAAGGACTAAAAATGTCACTCATAATAGTTGAAGGACAAAAGTGTCACTTTTATGAAAGTTGAAGAACTAAATATGTAAATTTTCAAATACGAGTACCAAAAGTGTCTCTAACGTAATAGTCAAGGACTAAAAATAGAAAAAATCAAAGTCGAGTACCAAAAGTGTTAATGACATAATAGTCGGAGGACTAAAAGTGGAAAAAACTCTTTACCAAACCAGCTCTTGATGTATGTTTATTGTAATTTTCATACTAGGGAACAACCCTATATTAACCATAGCGGATTAAAGATGAGATGGAACAAAATAAATCATAAATAAGTGCATTAATATTCAAAGTTCACGTCATTGAGCCAAACTGGGAAATTATCACCCACCTCCTCTGAGGTTTAACATTTAATCACTTACACCCATATAGTATTAAAAATATGCAGAAGCCTCCCTCTATCATTGACAGTGTCAACTTTAACGGTAAGGGTTAATTTAACGTGCAAACATAATCGCATACCCCAATTTTCTGAAACCCCTTTTCCGTGAAAAAACTAAAATCCTCAAACCCTGGCTCACTGAATGCTCTCCATGGAAGTGCTTATTGATGTTACGCATACAAGTAGATTTAGCAAATAGAATTGCTGCAAATCTCTTTCAGGTATGACTTTTAATTAATTAGTGCAATTCATTATCCCAATTTGTCAGAATTTCTTAAATATGTTTTCCCTTTTGGCTAATAAACTCAATCGTATTTGAGTGGCTAAAGTGTCTAACGCCTCGATCTAGGTTAGAGATAGATAATGGAAGCCACACTTTGCATTTGTTCAAGGACAATTTATCTTTCCTTTTTCAGCTTTTGATCGAGAATCATTCCTTTTGTCAATTCTGATGATGAGAAACTCGTAACCATATTTGACATCAGTATTATGGATTTTAGAGTACGTCCCTGGAAGATAACTAGGTTAGTACAAAACAGAGATTAACTGGAGTATTGAGTTACCTACATATTTTTCAAGTAGTGTTACCAGAGGGAAAAGAGTTAGAAAGTAGATGATCGAGTATATGATCAAGCTTGTGTATCTACTTATTGCATATTAGCTTTATCAGACATGATCTGTCTATTTTGTTTTTGAATATTATTTAGAGTGGTACTCTAAGTAACTTTCTTTTTTCTTTCAAAAATAAACGATTATCAACATTCACTAATTTTGATTATTGGTAATTTAGCTCGAATTTCATCAGAGATCGTCTGTAACAGTATACGGCGTTTCTATCTGCTCCCTCGTCCCAACTGGCCGCCGCCGCCGTAATGTTCCACTGTTCTAGAACGATGGAGACCGAAGCTAACTCTTGCTAGAACGGAAAAGGGCCCACAATCGCACCAATCTTGTGCGGGAAACCCACTGGGCCACTGACCTTTACTCCACTGGCGCAGTAAAGGGAGGATTTCTCCACCGAGGTCATAGGGGCCCCCTTTCCGGTCAAGAAATAAGCGGTGCACCGTGGATGATTTTCCCGCCGCTGCAAGCGCTGACGATCGTACATATCAAGAGTATAAGAGACCTAGGAGCTCGTTTATTGGTGGGACTTGTCGCCCTGCCCCCAACAATATTAGTGGGCATTAAGATCGATTATTACATAGACAGGCAAACATTTGCCAGCTTCACTTCAACCGTGGATGATTTCCGATAAAAAATGAGAAAAACTGGCTTTTTGTTTAAATCCCATGCTGGAAAGTTCTCTTTTTCATCTTGCTCGGCGTTTTGTTACTGTCCACATCGCCTTCACCCCTCAGTACCAGCAGAACCAGGCTTCCAGAACCCATGTAATGTCCTTCAGAAATTCAAAAAACCCGGTCAGGATTTTGCTGCTTCTTTAGCTCTGAGGCACTTGAGCACAGCCCATTCTGAATATAAAGGAGACCAATCCAGCAGAGAAAACTGCCCTGTCAACTGTAAGTCCTCCTTGCTTTCTCTTTATGATATGAATCTAAAGTCTAAACTTGGGATTCCTTTCCCCCATTTGCCCACCAGGTGTACGATTTTTTTTCCTGTGGCGATTTATCTTGGTTTCTTGTTGATATTGGTACACTTATTTTGAAAATGTTCTCTTGTTTGTTGGCCTTTAATCATATACTTGTCTATATTTCTATAAAACTGTGACAATCTTGTTCAGTGGTTCTGGCTGTTGAATCTATATCCATGTTTATAATTTTAGCATCTTTTTCTGTTATGCATGTGCAATTTGTTGCAAATTTAGATGATACAAGTGAAGAGGCAGAACCAATTGATTATTGGGAAGAAGAGGAAGAAGTTGAACCCGAGGTATACATATAATTTTGTTTCTTTGCTATCTCTTCAACAGTTTTTTTTTTGCTTTTCAAGTTTTATACGGAGTATTTTACTTGAAAATGTTAATGAGGACCTGCAAACCATCAGATTGGTGATGGAGGGGATGGTGGAGGAGTTGTTTTCCAGAACTGCCATTGGGGCGAGAAAGCATTGTCCATGGCCAATCAGGTAGTCAAGGAACATACTGTTGACATGGAGCTCTATGCTTTCAAAACTTCTCCTAGGGGATACATCTATGTGAGACTCGACAAACTTACTAATGAGTAAGTGCATGATCACATTTTATGATTGTTTTTTGTTTTGTTTTTCTTATTGTGGTATTGGCCTATTGGGGGGGGGGGGGGGGGGGGTCGAAGCAGGCTTGCCATTTCTTCTGATATCTGTGTCATTGAGTCTTCTTCTTCATCACATATTCATATATTGCTGCTAAATTTATGTGTGAAGTGCCTCTAGGATCATATCAAATCCTTTAGAGTAATATTTTTAAATCTGATTACACCTTCTAATCTTCTATTCATGATGGTAATATAAATGATTACAAAATCTAATGAAATTCCTGGCTGAGAATGTGTGTAGATAATCTCTGTTCGTTTGTTAGTCTATATATGGGACAGGTACATGCTGAATGAACAAAAATGCCAAACCTTCTAAAACCAAAACTGATCGAACCATATGTGGTTTGTTTTTTCACTTGAGGTTTAGCCTTCGAAACCAAATGTATCACTAAAACCATCCCAAAGTCACAAAACCAACCGTAAGCGACAAACCTAAACCAAAGTAAGTTATTCTGTTTGGTTTTTGGTTTTTTATTGTTTCAAAACCAAACCAATACAAATCTAAGAACATTTGGTTTTTTATTGTTTCAAAACCAAACCAATACAAATCTAAGAACACCCCTAAATTCATATGATCATCTACATCATTTCAAAAGTGTGGAATATATTTTGGCTGTCAGGTATGGTTGCCCAACCATGGATGAGATAGAAGATTTCAGCCACCAATATAAGAAAAGGTTAGATGAAGCAGGAACAGTGGAAGATTTTCCAGAGGATTTGGCTCTTGAGGTAACCATAGTTGTTTTTTATAATGCTTACAACAAGTACACTACAAAAAATCTCGATCTTCAAAGCTCACTTTCTTTTTTGTTTTTTTATTCTGCTATAAGGTGTCATCTCCAGGGGCAGAACGGCTACTGAAAGTGCCAGATGACTTGAACCGGTTCAAACACATGCCGATGAGAGTGAGCTATGTGGAAGACGGATCTCGCGGTCTAGAAACTAATAAGATATTTTTCTTGGACTGTATCAACACCGACTTAGGAAATTGTGTGTGGAAGCTGGTTGATGTGAAAGAAAACCGGGACCCGTCTGCTAAAGGAAGACCACTAAACCGTAAACAGAAAGATTGGAGACTCACACTGCCATATGCTACGATGAAACGGGTAACATTGTTCATCTCCTCCTAAATCAAGTGTAGTCTATCCAACCTCAAGTGTTCAAAACATATAATGGAAAACGGAAAGTTATTTTACAAATTGGAGTACAAAAACACTTTTTTGTTGCTTTTGGCCGGAAGATGGACAGTTTTGGATAGAGGTAATTTTTGTGAGCTTGGAGTTTAACTTTGAGCAACTGGTACCCTTTCTTGTGCTGTAAGACTCTTCAACATTGCTCTTAACGAGTATTGATGTTATCTCTTTCCCTTTAACGAACTGCACTTGTTATTCTGTTGTGATAATTGATATTATAATGTTTATGGCTTGAAACACACAGAACTTTGATCCGTGAACAATAATAAACTCTGCTCTGCATTCTTAAGAACTCCCAGCCAAAGAACCCAAATTTTTGGAAAAGAGGGAAAATTTATCCTCTGTTATTTATTTGCATTTTTTTGTGTAATCATGCTGTTCCGATATGTATTCTTATCAAGTCTGTGCAAGGGCAGTTGGGAGACAAACCTAAATAACGCTACCTTTTTACATAATATCCCCCCACCCCTGACTAAAGTGCCGTATACACGTTATAGATTATAAATCTTATCAACTAAACTAATAATAAGATCGTTGTGGCCATATATTTTGATTTAAGTTCATTTCAATTTCCATATTACTATTCGATTTGAACATAGAACGTTGCAGTTTCGGCTAGAGACATGTTCAAAATTGTGTTGTTTACACATTAAACCACCGCCGTTTTTTTCTTTTCGAATTTAATATTCAGCGGTTTGATATAATGAACACATCTAAACAATAAAACTGCATCTGGAAAATGGCATAGCGAGTTGCAACCACAATTGGAACAGCATTGTGCTGTCATTTTGTATATCAAGTGTTTGATAAAATAAATATTGAGATAGCACATTTTGACACATTATAATTTTTGTCCGCTGTGTTCATTTCTTTCAAAAGCTCTAATAATGGAGAGCACTTATTGTTGAAACTTACAATCTGCATCACAAGATATTAAAGGTGGATGCAGACCAAGAATACCAGAAACAGAAAATCTTTAATACCTTGATGATTACAGACTAGCTGTTTCGACTTCAGATGAGGCAAAATTTGGAGGGTTCTTCTATTTCCAATCGATAAGGAATTCTTGTGAGGTTCAGTTTTCAGGTATCTCTAATAGTAATGATATGGAAGCATTCTGAAGTTGTTCATAGGAAAATGTTGTGACCATTGAGGTTGCGGCGGGTCTTCGAAACGTGGCCCTAGTTGCTGTGCTTTCAGGATTTGTATCTGAGCTTGAACTCTGGCCAATTGGCATTCAAGATTGTAAATTTGGTCACTTAAAATGGTGATTATTCCAGCACAACCATAAACTGGATCCTTAATCCGACAATGTGCCTCATAGTACAAGGATTCTGCCACGTCTGCTCGCTCGTGCTCTTGTACTTGCTGTGTTTATTCACAACACGGGTAATTATTATTCCGTACATAGTAATATTTTTGCGTATAATTTAGTTCAAATAAAAAGTACTCCGTATATACATTGTGAAAATAAGAATTAGCCCACACGACCTAATTACAGTAGCATAATTGTAGAATGCAGAAAATTTATGAAGCCGCAATAACGAATGTGTTATGTGTATCGATGTATTTAAAAAGTGTACCAGATTTTAATAAACAATAGCTGATATAAATGTGTGAATAAAATTTAGGGATAACGACTTTATATACATCAAATGCACTTATACAACATGTTGCACTTTATCATTTATAAATTGCACTTACGCTTATTTCATTGCGTTTTTTAAAATAAAAATTGATCTAATCGGTTCTTATTTTGGTGCTTGATGCTCTAAATTTATTCATATTTTTCACTTAAAAATATCTCTTCATTTATATATACACCTGTGTGTATATATGTATACATATATGTAAATGTAAATATATTGTTTTGACAATGTTATGCAATAGACATGGTTTAGACAAAAAAAAAAGATATCTAGAGAAAAAAATATTAGAGTACATATAATCGCAGCACTAGATATCTAGGTACTCCTCTGTCCCTTAATTGGGTCCCTTGATTAAGTTTATAGTTGGACTTTCACGGTCTCCAATATTAACGTTTGATCATTGATATATAAAAGGTTACACTTATAAATCTTATAATAAACTAACATTTTAACAATATATATTAAAATGAAGTACTCAAACATATTTTGGTATAATAAAATAACACAAGTTTTGATTATTACACTACAAAAACGGATTTCAAATAGCTTGTGTCAAACTGTTTTTGACACAGATTTAGCGTACTCGTGCCAAAATCCTTGTTTTCTTTGACACGCCAAAATCCTTGTTAAGTTCGGGAAATCCCAGTCAATCCTGTATTTATTTGTAGTATTACTTCATATTAAATAATTGCGGGATAGCGGGAGTATAATGTAGAATAATCAACATAGAAAGCCGGAAATAAACGAAACTAAAATATTGTGTCTATAATTATATATAATCTGTGCATGTGGATAATTGACATAATGACATACTAATTAAGAAACGAGATCAATGATCAATCAAATGATTTTATAAAAAGATGTGTGTGTATATATATATATATAATATACATACCTGGAGCATCATTTCAACGTTACTTGTACCAAAGATTTTGTGAACAAAAGCAAATCTTTGAGGATCATTAGAGGGGAAATATGGCAAAAGTATGCAATTTGATGGGCACCTCCTCCTTAGTTGTTTGCAAGCTGCACATCTTCCACCGCCACTTATCAAGCTTTTTGTTGATGACCTCTTCATTATATATATATATATATATATATATATAATTATCCTCTTCAAGATCTAGCAACTACCTCAAAAAATCTTATGAAACACTCACAAAGATACTACGTAGGATACGATTCTGGAATATTTTGGATGTCAAGATTGAAGAAATCTTGGGAAATTCTTTAGTATCTTTGTTGAATATATGTTATAAGATTTGGGAGATGATTTATATGTGTCGATGGAGTAGCTAAAAACACAATATACAACGGCTAGTTTAATCATCATTTTCATTTCATGTCTTAATTAATTAATGTTATTATCAGAAGAAGGAAAGTTACCGGTAGGTATAACCTTACCATCTCAACGTTTATTACGAGTTTAGTTCAATTTTTCTTTTGTTTAAATAAACTCTCAGTTTTTTCGAAATCTTCTTGGTATACACACATAGCTTCCCAAGAAATAAAAGGTGGAAATTTACCAATGAGAGTTGAGACCACGTAGAGCTCTTAACTAGGTAGTTGTATTTATGTTATATTTAAGGGGGAATTCTCCAAATAGGACTAAATAAAATTTTAATTGCAAGAATATAACTTTAAAATTTCCAAAATATGTCTAGCTTTCGAATACTACTCTTGCTTTGTTTTAATACAATTCATATTTCATTAATATTTAAAACATAAAAGTGATAACATAGCTTTATTTATAGTAAAAATGTAAAAAAATAAAATGCACCCAAATAAAAATTAAATCAAATTAATAAAAATAAAAAAATCATTAAAATCATAAAATTTATAAAACTTTAAAAATTAAAATTAAAAAACGTAAAAAATAAAAATGCAGACCTCTGCCAACGCCTCAACAAGCTCCTAGCACCATCAACTTTTATCACTAGAAAAAATGTCAACATGTGTCAGGGAGATGGTAGTTTTTGAGAAAATTTAGACATTTTCAAATATTAAAAAGTGTCATCTTCATGACATTTTCAGAGGAAAAAGTGACAATTTTTACACAAAAGGGTATTTCTTTTACCAATCAGAGTTGGAATAGCTGGGAAGTGACCGAAGCTGTGGGAAAAGACTTGATATTTATTATACATTTTTAATGTGTTTTATCTATATTTATTTTAATGTTTTCTTATTATTTAATGTTTAATTATTTTTCGTTTTAATTATTTATTACTCCATGTTTTTTAAAAATATTTTTGAAATTTATAATATTTTTTACGATTTTTTATAAATTATTTTTTTTGTTTTTATTGTAAATTAAAATATGATTGTCCTATTAAGGTATGGTAAGGGTAAAATGGGAAGATAGAGTACACTTTAGTCCTATTTTGGGAAGACAAATAACATATTCCTTTTTGTGCATTTAGGGATTAAATTAATTCCCTATACTTAATGTCAAATGTTGCTTTCTATTTATGCATGTTAAATAAAATATTTAATATATAAATTTATTTTGAACATGTAGATCTCAAGTTGATAGTGTTAGCGATTTAACCTTAATTTCTTGAGTTCTATTTTAAGAGAATCAAACCTTTTTTAATTTTTTTAAAACATTATATTTTAATTACTCCTCCGTCCCACGATAATTATCCTATTTTTTCTTTTTTCTCCGTCCCACTAAATTTGTCTCATACTATATTTGGTAATGTTTGTGTGACTCTAATTCATTCTTACTTTATTCCACTTTATGAATTCATTATCAACCACGTAACTATACTTTTCTTAAAAATCGCACCACTCTCCTTTGTCCCAATTATAGGAGGACGAAGGTAGTACATAATTTTTCATAGGGAAAAGTGCGGAAAAAGTATACGTGATTAAATCAATTTTGAGACACGGGCATGTGCTTCATTTCTTTACAAAGTAGGCCTTGTGTTCAATTTTGTTATCACAGGAGGGGCCCGACACCTACCACCGTTACAATTCGCTCAAGGGAAACGATAAACAGTAATGCCGATTTTCAAAAGTGTCCGAAAAATTATAAGAAAAAGTACGGAAAAAGTATATGTGGTTGAATCCATTTTGGGATAGGGGCATGTGTTTCATTTCTTTACAAAGAAGGTCTTGTGTTCAATTCTGTTATCACAAGTAGGGCTGAGCAAAATCCAATCCGACTCGATATACCCGATTTTTTCCTGATAATATCCGTTTGGATATGGATATCCTAACCGACAACCCATATCCGAAAATTTGGACACCATTGGGCGGTTACCAGGTTGCGAGTAGGGTTTATAAATCCCAAACCCGATCCGCCCGAATATCCGAAATACCAAAACGATTGAGACTCTTCTAACTGGCCTAACCCTATCCTCCTCTTCGATCTGTCTTCGACTCTTCGCTCTGTCCTCTCTCTTCCGTCTTCACTCTTCATTTGTTCAGACTTGCTCTCCTATCGGTCTTTGATTTCCTTCTTCAATCAGAGTTCCAACCATTCTTAGCGATGTTTTTTTAGTCTGATGTTCTGAAATATGAAGTTCTCACACTTGAGACTCCTGTTTGGTATTTTGTTGGAAGCTCTCACATAGTCACACTGAAACCCTAATTGGTAGAAATCGTTCTTCGATCGTTAGAAGTCTGAAACCCTATTTGGTGGAAGTTCTTGACCTGACTCCCTAAGTCCTAATTCTAGTCTATCACATCGTCTCTGAGGTATTTATAACTACGGTTTTGTTTTGAATTTGTTATGTGTTACAGTGTTAATGTAAGGTTTAATTGGTTCATATAAACGATGTAATTCTATTGTGGATTTGTGGAAGCAAATGACCTAGATGAATAGATGATGATTGTGTTTGAATATTTAATAAATTGATAGTATGATGATGTTGATGATGTAATTCATGCTTAGTACCCTTATACATTTGACGAGTGACTATGAATCTACGATGATGTTGATGTATTCATGCTTAATAATATGTTGTTGTCACTAAGTTGCGGTGAAATATGAATCCTTACTCCTCACTGACTAAGTATCGTATATATGAATTGTGAGTACTAAACTGTGCATATTTGAAATGTGAACTCTAAGTATTGAAAATGTGCCAAAGTTGTATGCCTTATGACTGAATATGCATATGTGAATGATGATGATTGATGGAGCCTCAGACTTGTTTTGAATTCTTAAAGTTGTATGGTTAATGTTTGATTATGCAGATGTGAATGATGATGGAGCCTGAGACTTGTTTTGAATTCTTTAAGTTGTATGCCTAATGTTTGAATATGCAGATGTGAATGATGATGGAGCCTAAGGCTTGTTCTGAATTCTTAAAGTTGCATGCCTAATGTTTGATTATGTATATGTGAATGATGATGGAGCATGATGCTTGTTTTGAATTCTTAAAGCTGTATGCCTAATGTTTGATTATGCATATGCGAATGATAATGGAGCCTGAGGCTTGTTCTGAATTCTTAAAGTTGTTTACCTAACGTTTGAATATGCATACGTGAATGATACATAGCCCAAGATTACAAAACAGTGAATTAAATTTTATTAAGGTTAAACAAAATCAAAAAATGTTATTTCAAAAAATGTAACAATGTGGTTAAAATTACGCAACAAGACTAAAATTAATATTTATGAATTTGAGGTGCATCGTTTACAACGGGAAAATAATAATTTTTCAATTTAAAATTAAAGAGTTAATATTTAACATAATACTAAATCTATATATTTAAGTTTTGAATTTTAATTTATTTCTGGTGTTGTTTGAAATTTATTTTATTTGTTTAAAGTTAATAGGGTAAATTTGCCCCATTATAAGAACAATAGGGGTATTTTTACGTTTTCTTAAAAATTCAGGAATATATATGCACTTGAATATATATTTCATTGATATATTTATTTCGAAAAATAGAATACGAATATATTTATTTTCAACTCATACTCAAGAAAGTCTCCATTCAAGCGAAATGGCCCAAGCGAAGCACAAAAGGCCGGCCCGAAGGGGTAAATCACTAACTAACGACCGTCCACATCAGTACGTCCATCCGGCGAGTCGATCCGTCGCAGCAGACAGGTTGAGACTTGAGACTTGCTGCCACTCACCACGGTCGGCGTTCACCACTTCCCCGGAACTCTCGGACTTAGCCGAATCTCCCTTGCAAGTCTATATTTCGCTTCTCCCGTGGGCCTGTGCGGCCTGTGCCCCTCGCCCGCTCCCGAGTCCCGCCCTGCGCGGATGCTCCATCCAGCCTCCGCCTGTGACTGCTCTCTGAGTCGGTGGTCTTCTGATTTTCAGGTATGTATTTTACCTTCAGTTTATTTTTGTTATATTTTATTTAGTTTAGCTTTATGTCTTTATTTCTGGCCGTGGTTGTGAATTCAGAAAGCTTGCTCTCTAGCCGTTCGGAATTTACTTGTTTGAATTTTCAGGTTGTTGTGAATTCTGAATCGTGATTTGATGTGAATATTGTGACTTCTTTGCTTTCAGCTTTAGACCTTTAGTTCGATACAATTTAGGTTGCTGTTGTATATTGTGAATTATGAATTCTGGAATATCCCTAGATTGCTCCCTAAATTGTTGTTCTGAATTAAACGAATAAAACCTACAATCTGATTTTTTAGTGACAGGTTTTATAAAGCTTTAAATGCCACCATTCTACTGTCCAACTGTTATTTTAGATTGTTGTGAGTATGAAAATATGGCAAAAGCTATACCAAGAATTAGTTCGCGTAGGAATGGACGTATTGGTTCATTCATTGGTTATGACTTATGCTTATTCAGTTGTTTTCTTATAATTCAGATTATTTAAGACTTTGGATGTTGGTGTTTAAGAAAGTTCAGTATAAGAAAACTTTGGATGACGGTGTTTGACTAGTTTTGTGTTCTGATTCTATGTTTTAATGTTTAGTTCTAAGTTTGTAACTATGTAAGTGATATTAGACTCTATGTTATTATTTTACTTCTAACATTAAATGGGAAGATGACATCAGATTGCCTTCCTTAAAAGAGGCATTTTGAAGCTTTATAAAAGAACATAAAAGAATATAAAAGAGGCATTTTGAAGCTTTATAAATACAAACTATAGTGTCAGTGTAACTCTGTTTTTCAATGCTTAAAAATTGGACAATGTTGGCAAGATCAGACTCTATGAGCTGTGGTGTTGGCAAGATCAGACTATGAGCTGTGGTAACGTGTTAATTTTAGTTTTTCTAAACTTGAACAGGTTAATTATTAAAATATTTAGTGGCTCTGCAAGGTAGTAGAATGAAAGAAGCACCAGAGCTAGGGATTCCAACTTCAACCAAAATTAAATTTGACAATGGCGACAGCGATGATCATGAGGTCTCCTCAGAAAGTGTAAGAATCTGGTCTGTATTTACAAAATCTAGTTTCTTATGCACATTTAATGTAGATATAAGATTTATGAGCTTTGAATAATTATGCAGGAAGAGGAAGAGATTGAGAAAGAACTTGCAGAAGTTACATTTGAGGAGCTGCAGAAGGCACGGTCAGATGGATCTGAGGTGATGTATATTAAACCTGCATTGGATAAAAAGGGTGGCCGGTCAAACAAAAACAGGTTTCCTAAACACACTTTAATGCTCATTGCATTTGTTGGTTTTAGGGCATCTAGATTATTTCATAAATAAGTTTGTTATGTTTTAAAAAAATCAAGGCCGATGGAGATGAGCAGCAAGAAGCCTGTTAGCAGGTTTAGAGAAGCTCTTCAAGTGCCTAAAAAGGTTAGTCTTTATCATATTCGTTTTGTGCAGGAATTAAAAATTAGTGGGATGTGAGCTGTTAAGTGAGCATGGCCATAACATTTAGTCATTTACCAAATTCATATTATCCCAACATGAAGTTTCCATATCTTCTCAAATGATGAGGTCTATTGGGTTAATTAGTAATATCCCGTGCCTAATTAGACATTGGCCATTCTAGACTTCTAGCAAGTAGGCTGAGTGGTATTGGTCCCGGGTTCAGATAGTAGACCCGGACCGTGTGTAACTTATTCATGCCCTGTATAGCGGCGTACTCCCTCTGCCCCAAAGAAGGTTATGTCTTTCCTTTTCCATCCATCTCAAAACAACATTCCTCTTTACTTTCAAGGGAACAGTTGTGTGTTTCATATATATTCTCCGTCTTCAGATTAAGTTTAACCGTACAATACTACAATGTCATTGTTCTTAAATCTTAATAGATGTGCCCACTCGGGGGTGGGGGTGGTTTTTTGTAGGGATTTGTAGTGTGTTTGGTCAGGATAATTAACACCAACAAGGTTTATGATGATGAGGTTATATGCTTTTTTTCAGTTGAAGTTTTTCTAGTTAAATTAACACAACCTATGTTTATTGTTCTACAACGTCTCTGAGCCTTTGAATTGAGTGTATACTTTGAGAATAATCTTAGAGATTTTTTTTATTCAGGTTGTTCGTGATCCTCGCTTTGAGTCATTGTGCGGCAGTTTTGATGATGAAGGGTAAGTTTTTTAGACTCTTTGTGGCTTTTTACTATTACCATTTAACAAAAGAAGTTTATACGTAAAAAAGGTTATATCTGTCAGGGGCCCCAAAACCACATAACAAAGCATACAAATCAACTCCTAATGTAAGGAATGTCCATTGTGTGTCAAAACAAGACCAAGGGTTCTTCCTATGTCAGAGTCAGCCAGAATTTTAATTTGATCATGATCATGTCCAAGCTTAGTTCCAAAACTTTTGTCTTTCCTTATGTTACAAACTTAGACAAAACTTTAATAAGCGAACTACCTATTTCCTTCTCTCTCCATATGTACAAACGAAGTTCCAGCGTCATCCAGCAACTTTTTATGGAGCGGATCGGCTTTGATGTTTCCAGTCATCTTTGTAGCTAAGGGTCATCAGAAAGTTTACAAACCACAGCAGAGTACATTCCAAGATAAGATTATGCATTCTACTTTCATCGCATGAGAATCAGTAAGACAGTAAGACCCTTAGTTTGCTAGCAAAAAAGGAGTCCTCAATGGTCAGAGCATTTAAAGCTTGTATTGTATTACTTATCCTCCACTAGAGTCCATATCACCAGTTCTCCAATAGAAATTTCTTCTTTCTTGGCATCACAGCGGGTAGACTTGTTTTCTATTTATGGCCATCTTCAGTTCTGCTCTGTTTGTGATAGGAATGCGGACAATAATACTAATAAGAATAATAGAATAGTATTAAAGAGTATAATAGTGTATAAGTGAAGATTCTGGGCCATTTAGTAAATCAGGAATAATGGGCCTATTATTGTAGATAATAATAAGTGGGCTTGTATTATAAATAGAAAGGGAGGGTACACAAATGAGGCAGGCAAGTATTCAGTTTAGAACAGGTTGGGAGACTGGGCATCTCGAATTGTCTGAGGCTACGTATTCCTTTTGTAAACTACTATTCACATCAATAAAGATTTCTTGATCAGTTCTTGATCAATTCTTCCTAATTCTCTACTGTTTTGAGTCGGATTTACCAGTGTTCAATCAGTTTGGAACATAGGTTCTGAAACCAAATACCAACTAAAGGTGCATACTTGGCACAGTCGGTAGCCCAACATCTACCTTCACATAGCATCTACAACTGCCAAAGAAAACCATAGGATGACAGCAATCTCTTAACTCTGTATTATATATTCCTGTCCAAGGAAATACTAAATTTTCTGAGTAATGTTTCCTTTAAAGAAGGGTTTCTACAATTTCTTCATGGCTGCAACAAAAACATTTAGAGGCAAGCTCAACTCGTCCTAGTCTGCCTTAACAACAGAATCAACAACAATCAGTCATGCAAGATAATGTTAAAAGAAATTTGACTAGAATTAAGGAGGATTCAACAAAGAGATGCATGAAGGATGTTTAAGATTTCGAGAAGAGGAGTCAATCCAGAAGATTTATCACAAATCGTTGTGGCAATCTTCTTAATCAAGTCAATCAAGTCTCATGAAAGGACAAGAAAAGTTTCAGTTCGTTCCGATAAGTACTTTTTGAGATATAAGATATCAGCAAGAAGCGAGTTTCTGAATGTACCTCAAGCGCGAAACAGATATAACCAGAAGAAAACATAACACTAGGAATTATGCCCTTCCTTGAACTGCGGCTGCCTGTTGCTTTTCAGTAGTTTTCATATTGATGTGGCAAAAGTCTTGATTGTAAACCAAAAGATGGCATTTTTTAGAAAAATAAATTTCCTTCAAGACTTCACTCATTGTGCCATTATTCTCTGTTAACTTTTGTAAACAAATGGGTTTTAAAAAATATTTCGATGGCTTATAACTCAAGCCACCCTCGTTGGTAGACAAGAGAGTTTATTCCAAACAGCCGACTGTATCTCTTTCACCTCTTGGGTACCTCCCTCTTAGGAAACTGTTAAATATAGTTTCCAACATATTGACAACATCACAATACCTTTAGGTGGATCCATATTTTGAAGGAGAGATTATGACATAGTGCTAGAAACAACTTTGAGCACGACCTTCCTCTCAGCTGCCCAGCGATAGATTTAAATCGTCTTCCCAACTGGTAAGGCTTGATCCTATTTCATCCATATTACCAGGTATTCCAGAGGGAGAACGTTCTTCAAATTTAGTTCATTTTTTATTTTTAGCCGAAGTATTTGGGGTACCAACAGCCTCATAGCTTACCCTGGCTAGACCCTGCTTCATATACCAACAACCAACAACCTCTCCGCAACATTCTTTTTATTTATATTGTCCTTAATGCTTCACCTCATAGTATTCCAGTTAAGTTCATCTATTTATATGTTTCCATGGCCAGATTATTAGCAGACACCCATATATGACTTAATGTGCAGAGTTGTTTCCATAGTGTGAAGCTCTTCTAACAATTTAATGAGGGAAGTTGCTATATGCTCCGTGTGTTTGTGTCACGTGCAAGTAGAATAATTAGAACTTTCATTTTATCTTTTGTCTAACTAGTTGTGAATTCTCTTGATTATATTTCCATAACGTGATATTTTGAACTGCTAGCAGTAGTGGCCACAAACCAAATAATTCATTGGTATCACATTGCACTACGATTTCATTACTCTTGTTGTACTTGTTGCAGATTCAAGAAGAGATACAAATTTCTTTATGAAAAAGATCTTCCAGCTGAAAAAGAGGCATGGTCATGGGCTCATTCTGTATATCTTTGCATATCTATGTACTGTTGCTAATATGTTCCTGTTATTTTTTAATAGGATCTAAAGAAACAAATGACAAAAACTAAAGACCCCAAGGTCATTGATGAACTGAAGAATCGTATAACTTGGATTGTAAGTGCTAATTCTGATGCATTTGCATTTCATTGGGGAAAAATAATTAAAATACCCCAAACTTTGAAGGGGTGTGAGATAAACGCCCCAAAATTTCATATGTAATTTAAATACCCCAAACTTTATATGAAAAGTTATTTTAACACCATGGTCATGTATGATATCTTTCAGAAATGTAAATTTATGGTGTTACTTGCATAATTTAAAATAGCAAATTGAAAACGTTGCAATTATATAGAGTGGGGGGTAATACTATTTATTTTACAATGGAAGTTTAGAATGTTAATTATATCTTCATGAATGCTAAAATATTTTAAATTATGAAATTAACACAAAAAATTAACATTTTTGAAAGAAATAATACATGACCATGGTACTAAAATAATTTTTTATGTTAAGTTTGGGGTATTTAAATTACATATGCAAGTTTGGGGTGCTTACCTCACACCTCTTCAAAGTTTGGGGTATTTTAATTATTTTTCTCTTTATTGTTGTTTTGTCAAACTTTGTTGATATATTCTCAACATTAACTATATAATATATATATATTTATATATACAAGCAATACAAAGAGGTGTGTTATTATCTGTATACAAATTCTCCCACATTTATCTTCTATCTTCTTACATGACAGAATAAGCAATTGAAATCTGCTTCGACGAAGAATACTGAGAAACAGATTCTATCTGAACACAAGAAAAAACAGAGAGAGGCTGCAAAACAAGGGAAGCAACCATACTACCTTAAAAAATGTATGTGCTCATGAACACATTTCTTTGTCCCGTTGACTTGCTGTCTCGAAAGCAACAAAACAACATTAATCTAAGAGCTGAGTAACTGAAAAATTGTCCTCGGTGTACCTGGACCTATTTCCCAACCACGTAACTAATAACACTGGAACGGATATGAACTTGAAGGGAAAAACTATTTGTACTGGTATATGAATTTTGACAAAATGCCATGTTGATCAGTTATTTTTTTTTTATTGCTTGCAGCTGAAATACAAAAGCTCAAAATTCATGAGAAATACAAGGAACTCAAGGTACCTAGTCATCTTATCTTATAAATAGTTGCTAGCATCTACACTAACCAGCTATATGAATTAAATATAAGAAACTAACCTTGCTTTGATTTACCAGGAATCCGGTAAGCTTGAATCTTTTATGGAGAAAAAGAGACGAAAAAATGCTGCGAAGGACCACAGGTATATGCCATACCGGCGTTCTGAAGAACAAGGAAAATAGTGAAGCTAGTTTGTTCAGTGGTCTGTTCTGCAGTCTTTTTGTGGATCCATTGTCATTTCCATTTGCGAAGTGTTGGTTATATATTTCATAGCAACATTTCTTTGTGCTGTGATTAATTTTATTTTATTAAAAGTATTTCACGTTATGTCGTTTATTATCGAATAGAAGTGGAAGTGTTGATGAACGTTGTAGATGGATTCTGGGTATGGATGCCAAGTGGTCTATTTTTTCGACAATGACTTTATTCTCATAGGGCTTTTATAATGTGGATTTTTTTGAATAGACCAAAGAAAACAATCTAGATTACAGGGCTAGAGGTAGGGGTGGACTCGGGTCCGGGCCGGGTCGGGCCTAGGCCTGGACGGGCCGGCGGTTCAGGAATGGTGGACCCGGGACCGGACCGGGTAGCCACCGGGTCCGGGCCTCCGGTTTGGATTTTTTTTTTGCTTTCCTAACCCCCCCCCCTCACCCCCACCCTCCCAAACCCTCCCAAACCCATCCTACCCATCAAGCCCAACCCGGGTGGAACCCCAAAAATGAAAAAAAAATAAAAAAAAATCAATTTGGCCCGGGCCCAACCCGGCTGGGCCGGTTCACCAAATTTGAGACCCGAGCCCGGACCCGCCCTACCCCCCGGGCCTAGGCCCGACCCCGGACCCAGACCCGAGAACCGGGCCGGTCCTGGTCCCGCACAGTAGCGGGCCGGGCCAGTCCACGGGCCGGGTGGCCTGACCCGAGTCCAACCATAGCTAGAGGTGTCATTGTCTTGCCATACCAGCCTTTAATTAAATAACATAAACGATGCCATATTTGAGTTTTTGATGCAGTTGCCTACCCAGTATTAACTATTAAGGGAGTGTAAAATTGATTAAGATCCCAACACTCCGTGCAATTAAATCTTTGCTACTTGCAGATTTTTTTACAGATAATTTTTCCGATTTTAATTTCTATTAGATACGACTTTGAGTTTTCAATAGAAAATCAAAACCCAAAAATAATTAAAGATAAATGATAGGAATGGGATTGGGTATTTGGGTTTTTGAAAAAAAAATCATTAAATAGGTATTACTGTAAAGTGTAGACGATATACAAAAATTCTACGAGCAGTTGATAGTTTGATACTTCAAATTTCAGAAAGTGATTCAAATTAGTTTTGAAGGAAAGATTTTCTCATCTTTGTAGCATGTTTTCATTTGAAATGATTCGAATCTCAAAGACAGGAGAAAATAGTTTTTTTTGTACACTCTTCACTGTTGTACACATTTTTATATACCTTATGCTTTTTTCCTGTCACAAACAAAACAAACATTTTTGAAAGATATGTTTGTATCCAATTTGTATCCAAAAAAATATGTTTTGTCTATGAAAGAAAAAAACCTTCACAGAGGTACAACAAGAATCGTTGAAGACTCACTAGATCAGATTTCACAAAGTCATATCATACGAATGATACTATTGATACTTCATCAAATATGAATAAGACCCATAGGCCTAATCAAACTTAAATAAATCATTCAGAAATTTCGAAGCACGGTCTAGTTCCCTGGGAATCTGGGAAGATAGCCTATTGATTAGAATTGTAACATGTAATGCCAGTCTTGTTTTCGGGCTGGGTAAAACCAAGGGTTTCACATCCAATTCCTGGTTGATTCCTACCCTATTTCGTTGACTACTATACTAGACTACAAATACCTGACCACCAGTATAGGCTCCGGTTCAAGACCGGCCTGTCAGTTCGGCATTTGGTTTAAAAACTGGTCGGGAACCAGGACCATCGCCATGTGCATACCTAGTCAAGAGCAGCAGTAGCATGACAATGGCAATTGTCAAACCAGAGCTCAAAGATGGCATAATCCGGATGAAGTTTATGATTTATGAGCATCACAACTAAAACCGCCATGGATGGAGACTGATTATTTTATGGCCCCATGCTAGCACGCAAAATGTAACTTGAGGGCAATATAGCACTGAGAGGCAGAAGAGTACAGACCAGCCAGAATCATTTGAGCTTATGGAATTTCCCTTTCCTGCAAAAGAAAAATTTACAAAGCACTCCTGTAAAACATAAATGGAGAACAATTCTGGTCCTGCAATTACATGGGAACAATTCATGGGAATAATAATAGGTTTAATATTTGAATTGTTAAGATAATCACTTTCAGTCTTGTAATTATGTTTAAATGCTTATTTTTGCCCTACATAATACTGCAATATGATGTTGCGTTTTATAGTCTTTTAGTTTCCCATCATTATTTATTCACTCTTTTGTAAACTTTAATAAGGGATAAATCAACTTTTATTTTATCCGAATATAATCTATACAATAGACCCCCATGAAATTATTCAAGGGAACCACAATATGAATAATGACACATGCCAGGTTATAGTCCAATTGTCCAAAATAATATTAAAGACGCCCCTCACCTATGACCATCATTTAGAGTTTAGACCATACATCTCTGGCCCCAATATATCCCACCAAAAAACCAGGAATGTTTGGATAATCAAAATCATGAACATAGAAATAATCTAAAATAACAATAAGAAACAGGAAAAAACATTACCACCAGTAGCTAGGGTGTTGGAATACAATTTTCTTCAAATGTGACACCTACATGGTCCTATTTCATCATTATCAGGAAGAACAATATAGACCTCGATTGTCCTATTTCATCATTTTCAGGAAGCCACAGTAGAGACTTCATTCTCTTCAAATCCACTCTGTTTCTCCACCCAACTAAAACCGGAATCCTTAACTATATTCTCTTCGACCATCCTTTCTCTAACCACCTTTGATTCATCCCATCTTCCCAAAGATGAATACATATTGGCTAGAAGAACATAAGGGGCAGAATTCTCTGGATCCAGCCGCAAAAGCTCGTTTGCTGCTCTTCTTGCTAAACTGACATTTGAATGAACCCTACATGTACTAAGCAATACCTCCCACACAATAGGGTCATCTTTGAATGGCATCTTATATAGAATCTCGTCCACTTCATTAAACCGGCCTGCTCGACCCATACAATCAATAATACAAGTGTAATGATCAACAAGGAGCTCCACTCCATATTCTTTCTGAATCGAGTGGAAAATGCTAATCCCCTTATCTACTAATCCTGAATGACTACAAGCAGTTAAAACAGCAATGAATGTTACACCATCTGGCTTATTCCCTGTTTGGATCATGTATTCATATAAGATAAAAGCTTGTTCTCCTTGCCCATTCTGTGCATACCCATGTATCATCTCATTCCAAGTAATAGTGTTCTTACAAGGCATCATGTCAAAATAGAGACGGGCCCCATCTATATCGCCGCATTTAGAATACATATTGATTAGGGCACTCCCTACTACAACATCAGTTGCATATCCATCTTTACCTATCATGGCATGAAGTTGCTTCCCAAGTGATAGAGAAGACAATTTCGCACAACTGCTCAATATAGATGCATAAGTGAATTCGCTAGGAGGTACTCCAATGTTCACCATTTGCTTAAAAAAGGAAACAGCTTCTTTGTCCAATGAATTGAGGTTAAAACCCGAAATCATGGAATTGCAACAAACTATATCTAACTGAGACAATCTATCAAATACAAAAGTTGCCATCTTTATGCAACTGCATTTTGAGTACATGCCAATAAGACTGCTAGCAACGTATATGTCACCTTGGGTATCATTTCTGAATGAAGAAGCATGGAGCTGTCTCCCATATTCCAAAAGTGATATTTCTGCACATGAAGTGAGCATGATAGCCAAAGTGGTCCGATCTGGCCGCACATTTTGAAACTGCATTTTCCTGAAAAGGTTTATTGCTTCATTTTGATCCCCACTCTGTGAGTAGCCTGATAGGATGGCATTAAATGAGCTTAAACTTGGGCATGTCATCCTATCAAATAGCAAACGGCCAGCTTGAACATCCCCAGATTTGACACAACCTGCTAGCATATTAATGTAAGTAACCTCATCAGGTTCAAAACCACAACTATGCATGTTTTCCATGTAATCCATAGCTTTTTTTATTTCATAGTTCTGTCCAAATCCGCCTATCATGATATTCCAAGAAACAATACTAACTTCGGCCAGGCCCTGAAAGATCACTTCAGCACTTGCCATATCTTTGTTCTTGGCGTACACGTCAAGTAATGAGTTACACAGCCGAAGATCATTTTCAAATCCAAGTTTAATGGCAAGGCTGTGGACTTGTTTTCCCTGCACATTACTAGTTTCCCAAGCGCTGATTTGGTCATCAAGCATAAAGTTAGGGATATCACTTTTAGCACAAACTTTGAGAAAGCTTGACAACAAAATGGAATCAATCATGAATCCACTCCGGTGCATAAACTTAAACATGTCAAAAGCCTCTTGCACCTGATCAATGTCAACCAAACCTGATATCATGGCCGTGAAGGAAACCTCATTGTGTTCCGGCAAATCCTCAAAGATCTTGATTGCATCCCCACCACAGCCGCATTTCACATACATACTTAACAATGCATTTCCGACATACACATTCTTGTCGAACCCACACTTTACAGCCAACCCGTGGCATCCCCTCCCGAACTCCACACCCCTCAGTCCACCACAAGCACTCAAAACGCTCGCAAAGGTGATATGGGTCGGCTCGAAACAGTCAGAGATCATCATACAGTAAACCTCCAATGCCTTTCTTTCATACCCATTTCGGGCTAAAGCACTGATCATAGTGTTCCATGAGACACTATTCCGCTCAGGCATTTTGTCAAACAACTGGGTGGCATGATCTAACTGGCCCGCCTTGCAGTGAGCCCCCAACATAGCATGATAGGAATATATGTTAGGATGGGGCATTTGATCAAAAACGTTGCGGGCCGACTGGGTGAGACCACACTTCGAGTAGCACTCGGTGATGCGGTTTGCCAGAAAAGTATCGGAAGAGAGGCCAAGCCGGACGACATGGCCATGGAGAAGTTTGCCGGCGGTGTGGGATTTGTTGTCAATGCAGGTCTGCAAAAGGTTCGCTATATACGTTGTGTTGGTCTTGGCTTGCATTCTTCATTCAGGTTTAAATTCCTTTCATTTAAAGCTTAGTAAAAAATAAAATTAATTTGTATCAACCAGTGCTAGGAAAGCATAGACACTTCGTTGATTTCTCAAATTACATTGGAAGAAGGCGTGGTACCCCACTTTGTTCAATTAATAAGATTAAATTAAATAAATGTTGCATATTCACCACACATATAGAATAAAGAAGATTAATGTTATGAAGGGAAAATCAAAGTAAAAGTAAAGTAAGATTCTCAAATATATAAATTGCTCAATATATGATGAAAATATACATAGTGCAAAAATAGGGTTAATTATGTTTTATATTTCAAATATGACTCATTAGTCCTATTAAAAGAATAAGTAGAGTTTTCCCGAAATAATGCTAATTAAATAAATAATTTTCAAAATACAGGTGGGTTAAAAATAATTCCCAAAATACTGTTGGAGTTAACCACGGATAAGGAAAGCCGTCATCTATGCAGTACAAAAGCCGCCACTTGGAGTGACGGCTCTTGTGTTAAGTAAAAACATGCACAGTCATTTAAACGAAAAACAATGCAGTCAACAAAAAACATGCTCATTACAGTCCATTCAACTCAAAAAACAAACATCTGATCTACAAAAACAAAATATATCTGAAACACAAAACGCATCATTGAAACTACATTGGATCACAATACTTGAAATACCACATAAAATTGATATCCGGTGTTTCAAAAAATAATTCAATCTGCCATTGCATGTTTCACACAATAATGTAAATACAAATATCACAAGTCAACGTGATCATCATCATAAAGGTCATATGGCTATGATTAAATACATAATTAAATCATGCATTAATTATATTGCTCTTGGCCGTTACTGTTTCTAGTTGGCAGGTCGGCCCGACTGGCATGCCGGACGCTTGAGCTCCCTCCTGTTGGACTGGACGGCGACTCCCCGCTGGGCTGGAAGGCAGGCTGCTTGCCGGCAAGCTTCCCGTTAGACCGGAGGCAGGCTGCTGGCCGAGCAGGAAGGCAGGCTGTCTTGGGCTTCCGCTCCTTGATGGGATTGATCGATTGGACCGGCTCGAGCGTTGGGTCGCTGGGCTTGGGCCTGCTGGTCCAAGTTCAGGGCCTGGACCGATTAGGCTCTGGGCCTAGTCCTATAACCTCATTAATATACTTTTTGAATGACGAATGCTACGGTGCGTTCGGTGCCCATAAAAATGAAAGTGTCGTATTTATTGGTCCAAGTAAGCATTTCATTACTTATTATTTATATTTAAATTACTCAACTGTTATATTAATATACAGATCATATTAATCGTCACCCTTAAAAAATGTATCACAAATTGCAATGAAATACTTGGTCTACACTTGTTTGTACACATTTTCCTACACTTGTTTATGTATATATAATAAACAACTTCTTCAACTTTTAAAAAATAAAACAGATATGTACAAAAAGGTGTACAAAAAACGTCTAGATATATATTCTACTCCTCTACCGTACCCTACAAAAAAAATAACCAAACTGACACGGATCTTTGGCACAGAGTTGTCGAAACTCATAGGGTATTTGATCTGACATAGATGTGACACATATATTTAAAATCCGTGTCAAATTCCGTGTCAATGACATTTTGACACAAGCAAACTCGGTCAATCCGTGTTAAGCCCGAACCAACATCGTTGTTTTCTTGCAGTGATATGACAATGGATACGATCTGATTCCTCTCTCCAGACCCAAGAACATAGGTTGGAACAAGTTGGATGATCGGACGGAATATTCAAGTATCAAACATATAACACAAAAAGAAAGGTATTTTGGAATACCTTTATTTCTCTCCTTATCCTCTTTCTCTTCTGTTCTACCAGCTTCGAACTCTTAATTTATGTTGATTTTAATTTGAAATGTCTTACCTACCAACCAAGCCAAAGAGGAGCGGGTGACAGTTTGTCCATTTTGTTCGATCAAATACAAACAAACGTGCCTTATACACAAGCCATAAAGGGCTTCACTACTTACAAGTTTGTCGTACTTCATAACTGTTATCGGAATTAGTCGATTCAGCTGATTTTGGTATTAGCAAACAAGCTCTAAGCTTTATTTGAAGTCCATTTGTCTCATTTTTGACGCGGTGAATGAAATATTAGCTTAATTAGTTAACTTATCAGTGCTAGTCACATAAAAAATAGAGGAAATATAAAAGATTCAAATCATAATAACTGCAATTTGTAACAATAAAATACACCTTTTAACAAATTGAAGCTTTGCTAGTTAATTCACATACAATTCGGTGGAATCTGTGTGCTATTTTCGTGTTATAGTTATGTTTATTTTTAATTCGATAGGATAGGATAAGTTATGCTATGAATTTTAGATCGACTAATTAATGTGAAATTCTAAATACATTGGTGACATCTTAAATCATATTATGATATATCTTTACCTTATCTACCTATGATTAATTTGACAATATTAGAGGCATAATTAAGAGTATTTTTTCTGAGTGACAATCATTTCTTCCTAATAAGTTCTAAAGATTAATAAAACAGAGAAAAATAAAACACAGTACGTTACATCGAAATATCCCATTCTTTATAATAGGACAATTTCATTTTTAAACTTTCCGAAAGTCCCATTTTCTTGCATATTCTTTCCTCAAGCAATATCAACGTACTCTAGTTTTATATATAGTTCTTTCTACAACTAATATGTTATACAATATACACCTAAAATACACCAGTATACTTGGGCTATGTTTGGCACAACGAGCTGGAGTTGGATGCTAATGTCTGAATTATGGGCTATTGTCTAAATAAGAAACTATTGTCTGAAGCTGAACTTTGAAATGCTGAATCTCAATTGTCTGAAATGCCAGTTGTTATTTCGATGAGAAATGGTACAAAATTAGGGAGTTGAAAAAGTAATGACAACGTTTTTTTTTTATTTCAATGTTCTTGGTTCCGATTGGGAGCTGGCCTGGCCTATTTCGTTGAGGCATATAAACTTTGTATCATTAATTTTGTTTATAGTTAGTTGATTGATTATAATATCACAATGTTTGCATTCTAATTAAATGTAGTAAGCTATTTAGCTGCACTGAACAAATTAATCTCACTCTATAATAGCTAGGAGCCCTAGCAATAGATATGAAACTTTGTGTACTTATTAGTCTAAATTAAGGCGTTAAAACGTAACATCACAAGAATAAGTTTGGTTCTTTTAAAATACAAACAAAAAAAGTTCAAGTCGACGTTACAGTAGTCATCGCGGTCAGTTTTTTCTAATTTCTGAGTAAGTTTGTAATTAAAAAAAGGATGATACCCCATCTCTGAGGCCCTCAACATCGATCAGATCGTAGGTTGGGAGAATGTAAATTGGACTATAATCACAATCTGACAGATAGAGAGTGAGGCTCTGTTCCCGACATTTGCAGAGGCCCTATGCATTTTTAGTATAGTAACATCTCATTGCAGTTGGCGGGATTCGAACTCATAACCTAACCCTTGTGACACTCCCAAGGGTAAAAGTACACTTTTATCTTGGGAAGCTAGCTGTGTATAGGAATTGAATGGGATTTGGAAAAAGTGAGACTAAAATTAAAGAGAAAGTGAATTAATTCATACTACCTTCAGTCCCAAATTGATTTACAAATTTGACTTTTCTTGGTCAAAGAGTTTCATTTTATTGGCTTAATTAGGATGTCAATTTTTAATTATATTCTAATTTGGAGTTTGCAACTTTGAAGAGATTTTAATGTAGTTTCTAATATGTAAATTTTAATTATTAAAAAACGAGTTAAATATCGATAGGCAGGTTATAGAGCCTACCGGTAACTTTCCTTCCTGCAATAATAACACCCCAATTGAGCCATATGCCATTAATTGAAGTGGTAAAACGACTAAAACCACCAAGACTTGAAAAGAAAATAATTAAACTAGTCGTTATGGTTTTGGTTCAAATAAGAACACGATCTTATGAGAGAAATGAGAACGAATCTAGACCGTTAGATTTGCTTCACGTGAAATTCAGTGTGCATTAGATGAAACTGTAATGTGCATTAGGTGAAATTGAAATGTGCATCATAAAGGATGCAATAGAGTGACATTATGTGCAGTTGAATTGTGCATTACGTGAAATTGAAATGTGCACTAGGTGAAGCTGAAATGTGCAGGATAAAAAGTCAATGTGATGTTATTTTTTGAACTTTTTTTCACACATCAGTTTCATCTAATGCACACTTGAGTTTAAATTTTTATTTTGCACATTTCAATATCATTTAATGCACATTTCAGTTTCACCAAATGCACAATTTGGTTCCACATAATACAATCCAACGGTCCAGATTCGTTCTCATTTTTCTCCTAAGATTTGTTCTTACCGGAACCGCTACCTATATATATAATCTGAGTGTTAACGGTGTTAACTTTTCTGTTATTTTTTTTTAATTTTGAATATATCAAAGAAAAATATTTATAAAATAAATAATATTATATTTGAGTTTAATCTTTTCCTATGATAAATTTAATTTAATATTTAATATTTTTCTTGAAATATAATAGAAATATCCGCATTAAATATTCAGTACTCTACAAAATTTGTATTAATATTCAATAATATTTAAGTATAATATTGTTAAAACTGCTATATTACAATGAATAGCAAAAATTAATATAAATAAAATATGGATAAGGAATAAAAAATAATAGAGAATTCGAAGAGTATGTACTATGTAGTGTTCAAATATTTGAATTATTTTTTGAAAAATCTTGACTATTAAATTAAATTTTTGGTAGAAACAAGATTAAACTCAAATATAATATTGTCGATGCTTATATATATATCATCATCTTCAATATATTAAAATAAAAAATAACGGAAAAGTTAACACCATTAAAGTAGGGATTGTCGATGCAATCGGTTTGTTTTTGTAAAACAGTTAACTAAGCTAGTTGGGATTATTGTTGTGAACTTTTCAGGTAGGGATTATTTTTGTAGAATGGGTAAAAGTAGGGATTATTGGTGTCACTTTCACCTTATATTTATAACACCATACATTGGCAAATAAGAAAAAAATCACATCAATCAAACACTATGTTGCACGGAAACGTGAAAATTAAGAGAAAACGAGAAACAGGAAACGTCAACTTATGCTTAAAAAACGCTAGGTTAGAGAGTTTTCATAGAGTTTTCGTAAAGTTTTCAAAATGTAAACGTACTCTTTCCCGAGAGTTTAGTGCTACATTGATTGAACATGCTTGTTATTTTGAAAATTTTTGAGGAGTAAATAACACTACAACCATTCTTGATGTACACACCCTTGTACACACCTTATACACACCATGTTTGTGAATCTTTTTTTTTTGTCTGTGAACCCGGTTCACAGACAATATTTTGTTTGTGCAAAACATTGTCTGGAATTGGATAACATTGTCGATGTTCACAGACAAAAAAAATAGCTTTCACAGACATATGTGTGTACAAAAGTGTGTATAAAAGTGTGTACAAAAATAACACTATACATTTAGACAACAATTGTTTGGAATTGGCATTATGAATTATGTTACGTTGTTACCCCTCGATCTCAATCACTCAATGATTACAACGTACTTACTACTTAGGTATGTCATGGACTACGCCGACTTGTACCATTTGTGTTTGGAGAAGTATTTGAAATTACATCTCTTCTATTTAATTATTATTATCTAATTCTAAAGTTATTAATAAGAGCCCGTTTGGTAGCATGAAAATCGGCTTATTTGGCCGATTCTACTGAAATTTATGAAGTTCTGGCTGGAGTGGCTGCATTGGCTGATTTTTCTGATTTCAGAAAAAAATATTTTCAAAATATATTTTATTAATAAAATAAAGAAAAAATTATATATAAAAATAGCTAAAATGGTCATCTACAGTAACTTCAGCCAATACAGCAAGAAAAGTAACTCCAACCTTACTTTTTCTGCTTATTACATTATTCAGCACGTGAAAACAAAAGTTACGTGTTTGGTGAAAAAGATGGCTGATAAGTCTAATAAGTCGAAAAATGATGTCACAAAACGGCCTCTAAGTCTTTCAATCATCTATAAGCATTTAGGAAGACAGTGTTTAATAATTGGAGTATACGACATACTTGTATTAATATACAACATAGAGTACACAAGTATTTATAAAAATAATTCCAACCTCTGGTTTGGCCTTTTTAAATTCCAAGCTCTGGTTTAGCTTTTTTAAGAAAGCACACCAGAATTTATTTTTCTGTGTGTTTCTAAAACCATAACTTTATAATATCAATTTCCTACAAAAACTTTATAATGTCAATAACCAAAGCAGTAAAGGCCAATAAATCTTGGATAAATTGAAAGCTCACAAACGTCTTTTCTATCAAAACTGTCCATCTTACGACCCAAAGCAAGAAAAAAACGCTTTCTACTCCAGTGTAAATATTTGCCCTTTTCCAGAACAGAATTTTTAAGCTATAACAATCTGTAAAAGGCAAATTTTCACCCAAAATAACAAAACTTTAAAAAGCTACATTCATCCTACTTCTACATGAACCCCTCTACCCAAAAAAATGATAAAATCACAAAAATATAATAAGTCGTTATTAACGAAGCGTAATGAACACCAAAATCAGTCACAAAAGAAACAAAATAAACATTCTAACTGTAGCAAGAGACTTTATGATCAAAACTTTATGCAGAATTCAAACTGTTATGATCAAAACTTAATGCAGAATCTAAATAACAAAACTTTATGATCATTCATCAGTAAACAACAGTTATGATCATCACCAAAACAACATAAAGGCTTTAGTAGTGATTAGTATGTGTTGATGTGTCATATATATGCAGAAGTATAAATAAAGTCTAGGTTGCATGGGTATACTGGCATACAGCAAAAACCCACCTTTCAGCAAATAAAATCCTTTGGTTTACATATTTAAGCCTCTGCTTTCTAAAGATTGGAAAGTCATACTATTACTCATAGACTCACTGTCATTAGTAATTTGAACTCATTAATTACCCTTATTCAATCATACACCGGTGTGTACACTTGTACACCCATTTAATTACTCATAGACTCACTGTCATACTATTATAGCCTACACTCATGCAGCCATACACCCACGCAAATATGCAGAAAGTATAGACTGCACACAGAGGCATGAAGCGTGAAAGAAGTCTCTGTTGCGTTTTTTCAATCACCTTGCGCCTAGTTGCGCCCCAAGTGTGCTTTTTAAAACTAAGCTCGCAATTAGCCAGTATGAATGTTGATAACTAACTGTCCACCACATCTAAAACATCCAAAATATCCAAGGGCCAGTTTACATTATATCAGGCATACACAGACAATACTCCTCATCACAAGAACCGCGAAATTCAAATATTCTTGACTCATAAATTTACAAGTTTTAGATTACATCATATGACAAAACTTAAACTTATAGATGAAAGTCAAACGATGACGACGTCTACCATGCAACCAACGTTGTGTTTTTGAGTAAATCATGTGTCACCTCTCGATTTATGCCGTTAGGAAATACTCCGTAGTTAATAAGAAAACTAATTAATTATTATAAAATTTACTCCACCACCACATTTAAAACATCCCAAATATCCAACAGCCAGTTTACATCATATCCGAGCAAACATACACAACCCTCCTCATCACAAGACTACAGGACTCGAAAAAAATCAATTATTCGGGACTCAAATAATTACAACTTTTACATAACATGATGATGAAACTCACACTTCTAAATGAAAATCAATTAACGATGACTTCTACTTTGGAATCAACATTGTGTTTTTGAAGTAAATCACGCGTCACCTCTCGAGTTAGGTTCATAGGAAACAGTTTGCTATATGTCCATCTGTCAACTCCATGATACTCTCGTCCTTGAAAATTGATAAGCATCCTCTTTAGGGAAACAGCTCTATCAAGTAAATAAATAGCCAGCTCCATGCAGTTAAATCGGTCAGAAAACCCACATATCTCCACTTCTTTAATGTGAAAATTGATGCATCTTTTATCAATTATTCCACTCGCGTTACTTGTCAAGTTATCTTTAGAAATATAGCTGCAAAAAATAGATAAATATCAATAAAAAGTTTATGTAATTATGAACGCATTAGACAAATACGAAGTATTTTTAAGTCATCTCCTACGATGCCTTAGACATTTAAACAAATGTTTTTAACTCATCTCGGTCCAATAAGAGAATACAAACCAAATCCTCAAATAAGTACTCCTACTATGCTGGCTCTTAGGATAAACCCCAAATCATACCAAATTTCATATCTAGACTATATTCAGTTGTCACAGCACTCATCAGAAGAGAGATTTGAGCAGTGAGTTTCATCTTGAGTAAACAACCACATATTGCAAGAACATATTGTGTAAAACACATCAAAGAGAGCATCTTTTAAAATGAGTGAAATCACGTAGAGAAACAAACAACAGACTTACGGAGAGAGAGAACAAGATAGAGAGAGAAGAAACTTCTGCAGGACATGAGAAACATTAAGAATGTGTACAATGGTGAGAAGATCATAATTTGGTGATACCACAATAAATAACTCCAAATTCTTCAGATATTTGAACGGAGTCATGCTGGCAGGCATGGGTGGTTCCTAGGGCACCAAAAAGTAAATAAAAATCAGATTAATTTTTTCCCCATGTTTAAGATATGCTACTTTCTTCCCAGAGTTTTCTTGTGAGTGTGATTTGACAAGCTTATAAAGTGTAGTTGTATGGTTGCGGTTGATAAAAAAAATATATAAACAATGTCCATAAAAATTGTTTCTTTTTAAGAAACATTGATTAAAATACGGGACATATAAAGATAACAAGGAAACCAGTTTTCAGTATACACACCTCGAAGGGAACCAAGAACAATGAGAGAGTTTGTAGATGTGAGACATCTTCTGCAAGTTTATTGATGAAAACAGAATGCATGCCCTCTGATGAAAGATTTTCAAAGCGAAAATACATTTTCTCAAGAGATGGAAGACTGCGGAGGGTGAACTTCTTTACTCCACCCATGTATTCAAATGTAGTCAGCTCCGGTAGAGAATTGAGCTCAATATGTCCACGATGAAGACAATATTCCATAATTAACCGTTTTAGACGGCCTAACGCTCCAGTTATGCAACAAATCTTAGGCACTATACACATTTTGATTCTCAGAAACTCAAGGTTCACACAACCAGAAAGGATGCTGTCTAAAGACACTTGATTTATGCGTGCGTGACCAATGTACAGAGTTACTAGAGAATTAAACTTTATTGCATTACCGGGAACAACGAATACCTCACAGAATTTAAGCGATAGATGCTTCAATGGAGATGTTTTACCATCAGGTAGAAGATGAAAAGGGAAGGTGTAGTAGGATTCAGTGCCCATGGGGGGAGGTCCAAAGTCAATTTTAAGTCGGTTGACACCATGCTCCAGAGCAGAACTTATCCACTGATCAACATTGGACGCGGAATCATCCTCCAGGGGAAAAGAAACCTCAAAAGTATCTAATTTTCGTCCTGTATATAACTTCAAGATTTGAGTGACCGCAGTAAGAAATTTAGATTTGTGTCTGAGCATTTCTTTCATGTCATTGAAGGAGAAGCTGTTGATATAAATTCCAAAAATGGACAGAAGATTAAGCCGAAGGTCAAATGTAAATTGTGATAACACTTTCCACCTGCTACACAATAACCGCATCCTCGCTCTCTCTCTGAAGCTCAAAAGCGAAAGAATCAGACAAAGAACATCATCTGGTAATTGACTGATACGATCATCACACTCTACGCTGAAGCTTTCCTCAATAATCGCCATATCTACTTCCCTACCTGTAGAAGAGAAGTAAAGATGAGAATCTGGAGGTTATTTCCCCATGAGAAGATGACTGTTCTGGGCAGGCTTGCCGGGGACCAGGCAATTCGGCTAGGCTGGGCCGCTGGGGGTTATTCGGTTTTGCATTTTGGGTTGGTTTCGGTTTGATCTGCGAGTGACTCGGTTCCGCAGTACTTCGACTTCGTATATGATTTCAAGTTCGGATAACCAGTATCATACTCCCTATGATTTTATTCAATTTAATTTGGTATGATTGATTCAATTTGACACCCCTCCATCACTTAAAACTCCGTAAATCTATTCTATTCTATTTATATTTATATATAAGAAAAGAGATAGCTTCTCAAAAGACCATTATCCCCTTCATTAATCTTATGTGTCACTCTCTCCATAATTTTCTCCCCTCATTTCCTATTGCCACGTGGTTGCTTCTTTTTTCTCTCCAAAGGTATAGAGCTTTTTTTTGCAACCGAAGCAAACCCCAATTTTTGTAGAAGGTGTATTTGGTGGTGTCCAAACTATAAAAACCTCATTTTTATTTATTGTTATAACTTTTTCATTTTTGCTCCTTTTTTATAAAAAACATATCAAAATTCATAATTTGTTGTGATCTTTCATTTGAGATCAATATTGAATATATAAAATTATAATTTTTAACGGTCTTTATAATTATGTATAAAATAAAATTATACTCCCTCCGTCCCAATTTGATGGTCCTGTTGCGGTTTATGAGGCTTGACCGACGATAAAGCAAATGAATTTCTGTCCGCACTCAAATTATTTGTAGCAAATAAAATTTACATATTCAGAAACCACATTAAAAGTTTTACAAACTCGCAAAAACCTGAATCAGATTTCATAAAAATTTGATATAAAATGTAAATGATTAAAAATGATTTGTGTTGACCAAGTGAATATGAACATGAACTAGGCCATCAATTTGGGATGGAGGTAGTATATATTTATATATAAGAAAGTAGTACACTATTAGAACTACAATTTTACCCTCAATTATTATGTAACATGTCTACCTACAAGTGATAGAGAGTATTGCTCTACTTATGTCACGTGGCTTGATCTTTTGCATTTTTGTTATTTGCTTTACAAAAAATGAATTATGGAGATAGAAAATATAAAAAATTCGGTCTACTAATATACGTCATCTATCTTAACGAAACTCCAGCCTTTAATATATACTCTTACTTTTAATAAAAATATACTCCCTCCGTCCCAAAATGAACTTCACAGTCACTATTTACATGGTCAACTTAAATTACTCTTCATCTTATGTTTTATATATCAAATTTTTATCAAATTTATATTTTTTTATCAGCCTTTGTAGTAGTTTTAATGTAGTTTTTCAATATGTAAATTTTATTTACTAAAAGTAATCTGAGTATGAACAGAGATCGAGTTGCTTTATCGTCGGTCAAGCATCGTAATCCGAAATGGGAAGTTAATTTTGGGACGGAGGTAGTATAACATTATACTCCCATAATTAAAGTGTTGTAAACCTTATTCTTTCCTTATTATAATGTCATTCGAAATTCAAAAATTAGCAAAAGAAAATGATAACCACATCGGGTGCTAAACTCCTAATAAAAAAACTTCTAAATTTAATTCGATTTAATAGTATGGTATTCTTTCTTTTTAAGAGAAGGTACAAATATGAAAAAATTGATTAAACATTTTTGTTTCTTAAATTATTTTATGATTTGAAGTGCACTGGTTTCCTATATAAAAAATTAGCAAATTAAAATCTAATTATTTCTGATAAAATAAAAATTCGAGTTGGTCTATTTACTTCTTTTTTATCTTTTGCATTTTTGTTATTTGCTTTACTAAGCGAATTTACATGAAAGAAGCAGTATATTAGTCTATCAACTACAATTAGTAATCAAATCAAACTAAATTTTCTCTCTCATATTTAGTGTTTTAGGTATTAGAAGATAGACTTGCTAATACGAGATAATTGATATTGTTGTTAAAAAATAGGAAGTTGTTTGATAAATCTTCAAAAAAATGCAATATTGCTATCATATGAAACGTCACAAGAATTATGAATTTTAATACGTATATTTTGTTAAAGTTAGAGTTAAAATGAAAAGGTTATAATTCTTTTATTGACATTGAGTGACTATAAAAAACCAGCCCTTATATAATACAAAAATGCTTATATGCTCATTTTTCATTTAAAATTATGTGTTGCTTGGTGACCCTATTTTTGAATTTATCAATCTTATCAGTCAATTTTGATATCGAGAGCTTAATTGTGTAATCATCAAAATAAGAAAGGTTGAAATTGATTTCTTTCATGAATTGAATGAAGTTATTATAAACGAAAATTTTAGTGTATTACGCCTGTTCAGCGGTTTAATTTTCTCATAATTCAGTATATTACGCCTGTTCAGTGGTTTAAACAAGAATTTCATCAATTTCAATAGATTCATCCATTTTATGTGTTACCAAACAAATTCTAAATGGCATTCTAAATGAAAAAGGTGCTCAGCATATGAGAGTATTGTCAATGTAAAATAGATCAATGATTTTAAAATGTAACGTGGTGTGATGAAGTTGCTCAAATGAGAGTCATACGAGATATTAGCAGTAAGAAATATAAAGTCATACAATTGGCGGGGCCCAAGATATAAGAACCCCAATTTCTTCATCATAACGTTATAACGTTTTTAATTTTTGTTGTAATTTCTACAAAACATATATCAAAATTCCTAACTTTTTATGATATTTCATATGAGAACAATATTGCATATAGAAAATTTAAAAAAATCTGAAAGTGTATTAAGTAACCTGTTATTTTTCCAACCTCGATACGGGCTATTCCTTATTAATTAAAGAAATAATTCTCAATATATGACTAAAATAAGGATATTGACTAAAAGTATGACTTATTAATTTTTAGTTACTATAAATATGTTTAAAATTATATCAAAGTCACTATAAAAGTTCATAGACAATTTTTTTATTTACAAATATTTATATATTGGAGAGGTTCTTCTTTATAGTTACTTTGATACGGAGTATAAAACTAAAATATATTTTTTTGCTAGAAAACACTTATATTAAATTCAAAAATCAAATAACTAAACATCCTATATTCTGGCTACCCAAACATTTCCTCTAGACTTCTTATAGCCAATAGGCAACTTCACTATCTGATTAGACATAGAATGGACAGTCCAATAATGAGCAAGACTAATCGCTGACCAATAATTAACCTGCTTGCTTCCTCCCAAACTAAAAACTAAAGCCACAAAATAGAATTTTCTCTCTCATATATAGTGATTTTAGGTTTTAGAAGATAAGTTTGCTAACATTTAGTGACTATATATAATAATAATAGACTAGCCCTTATATAATACAAAAAAGCTTATATGCTCATTTTCATTTGAAATTGTGTAGTACTTTAGTTACAAGATAAGACAACTAACCATTGATCCGGAGAATTTTATCTCCCATATATAGTGGTTTTAGGTAAAAGAAGATAAACTTGCTAAATGCTAATAACTGAGTGGAAGAAGTTTCTCTCTAATATATAGTGTTTCTAGGTATGAGAAGATAACCTTGCTAACAATTGAGCAGAGAAATTGAGTGGGAAAATTTTCTCTCATATGTAGTGCTTTTAGGTATTGAGCGGGAAAACTCTCTCATATGGAGTTCTTTTAAGTATAAGATAAGCCGGCTAACAATTGAGCAGAAGAATTTTGTCTCTCATATGTAGTGGTTTTATGTATAAGAAAATAAGGTTGCTAATAATTGAGCGGGAGAATTTTCTCTCTCACATGTAGTGCTTCAATGTATTAGAAGATAAGGTTGCTAACAATTGAGCGGACAAATTGAGAGGGAAAATTTTCTCTCTCATATATAATGCTTTTATGTATTATTAGAAGATAAATTGGCTAATAATTGAGCGAGAAAGCTCTCTCTCTCTCTCTCTTATATGTAGTGCTTTTAAGTATATAAGATAAGATAAGATAAGATGAGATGAGATGAGATGAGATGAGATGAGATGAGATGAGATGAGATGAGATGAGATGAGATGAGATGAGATGAGATGAGATGAGATGAGATGAGATGAGATGAGATGAGATAAGATGAGATGAGATAAGATACGATACGATAAGATAAGATAAGATAAGATAAGATAAGATAAGATAAGATAAGATAAGATAAGATAAGATAAGATAAGATAAGATAAGATAAGATAAGATAAGATAAGATAAGATAAGATAAGATAAGATAAGATAAGATAAGATAAGATAAAATAAGATAAGCCGACTAACAATTGATTGTGAGAACTTTATCTCTCATATGTAGTGGTTCTGAGTAACATAAAATAATAAGCTTCCTAATAATTGAGCGGGAGAATTTTCTCTCTCACATGTAGTGCTTTTACCTATTACAATATAAGTTTGCTAACAATTGAGCGGGGAAATTGAACAAGATAATTTTCTCTCTCATATTTTAGATATATGAAGATAAGAAGATAAACTTGCTACAATTGAGCGCACAAACTTTCTTTCTCATATGTAGTTCTTTTAAGTATGATAATCCAACTAACAATTGAGCAAGAAAATTTTCTCTCCCATATATACTGCTTTTAGGTATAAAAAGATATGTAAGCTAACAATTGAGCGGGAGAGTTATCTCTCTCATATGTGGTGCTTTTAGATATAAGAAGATAATCTTGCTAATTATTAAGCGGGAAATATTTATATATTAATTTGTAATTAGATAATGAGTACAAATATATGCACCAACTGCTATTTCCCGTGCGTATGCACGGGTATTATACTAGTTTTCTTTAATAAACTTTGTGTTCCTATTATTTTTCTCTTCTTTCCACAAACTTCAATCACACAATTTTTACTTTATTATTCTCCATACCGATCAAATTTGTCAAAGTTTCAAGGGACAGAGGAAATATGTTTATTGGTGTGTTTGAACTATAGATGGAAGTTTTCTTTTTATATAGAAATAGAAAAAATAAAATAATAGTCGGCCTCACTTTATTGTATTCCTTATTTAATTACAAATGTGAGTGGAAATAAAAGATACAAAATGAAATAAAATGGAATATTTCGGTGTATAAATGCATACTTATTATGTAATATGTGGATGTTGTGAGTGGAAATAAAAGATACAAAATGAAAAAAAATGAAATATTTC